AGAAGGTCCGAAAGCTTTCTGTAAAACTCATCTTTTACATCATCTGAGCTGCAGTCAGTGGGAGAATAGGCAGAGACAACGAAGAGGCAACGACGAGTGTCCCTATCTTTCCGGATTCTTACTGTTCCGTTCAGTCGGACAGCGCACAAACGACTGTCTACTGGGATCCACTCTAAGAGAGCTAGTTCTGCCCTAGGACTCAATGCTATACCTACGCCGGCGAGTCCACGGGAAGCAGAATCAGGGCTTCCAGATACACGAAGCGTAAATCGAGTCGGATCTTTATTTTGGCATGGTGAGGTCAAATGAATGATGCTACTTGGATCTTGTATGCGCGTTTCGGAGACGCAACACACATCGATGGCGCGAGATTCTAAAGTCCTAGCTAAGGAAGCCTGCTGTCCTATTTGGCACAGTGTTCGTACGTTAAAAGCTCCTACGTGTAGTTTAGAGCGTGGTTTCAGGAGACCAGGAATAGCGTTCCACGTACTCGAATCGTTTGCCCTAGCGGTGCGAGGTGATAAAGAGACGTGAGGAGGGTTAGTCATGGAGATAAGAGAGGTATTAGGTGTAGGAAGGATTTGAATGTGACCAACTTGGTCTCGTGTGCTGTTACGGGTATGAGGGCTGATGTCACTTCCCGGCTGCCCACACCGTGGAAGGGTATTTCTTGAGGAACCCGAAAAGGAAATTGGATTAGTGTTAGTCTTAACGACCTGGGAGCGTGACCGCAGAGCCCAAGGGACAACTGCTTGAGGCCGGTCGCGCACGGCCTTTTTGTAGAATGTTTTTGACATGTTAGCTCCGTTCTTCAAAGAGCCTTACCGCCGGAGACGGAAATCCGTGAGGTAAGTTGAGGTGTGACATTTTTAGGGTCGACCTTTTCTAACCCCACCCCTCCTTGTGGGAAGGCAGCATCGCTGTCATGCTGATTGTCCGAAGGAAACACCTTACTGCTGTCACACCTCTGTACAGTCAGCAGTACGACTTCGCCCTCAGACTTTGAGTTGCTGCTTTTAGTCTTACTGTTCACCAATCGACCTGCCTGGCATGGTAGAACCTACAGGAACATATGTTCCAGCCAATATAGCTCGGTTGGGTCATCACGATAGGCAAGCCCGACCACCACGTCAAGGTAGCAGCTTCGGTCGGGACAAAAGTAGATGACAGTTCGCCATAAGCTCTCACTCGACTAGTAGTGTTCGAGTAAAGAGCCTTTACAAGGTTTATGTACTTCTGGGGTACGCCTTTCAATGACAGACACTGCCACAGGATCTCGCAGTCTACCGAGTCAAATGCTGCTTTTAAGTCAAGAAAGACCACCATTGTCGGACGCCTATAAGTATGCCTGTGTTCTAGAACCTGACGAATGGTGAATATATGGTCGATGCAGCCACGACCAGGTCTGAAGCCAGCTTGATTTTCTCGTGTTTGCAGTTCACGAGTCTTAGGCGTCTGATTACTATTAGGGCTAGTATTTTAGATACTATATTTGTTAAACTAATCCCTCTGTGGTTGTCACAAGATGATTTTGATCCTTTCTTATATATTGGGACGATAAGTGATGGCGACCAGTCAGATGGAATAACATCTAACTCCCAGATCTTAGCTAAAATATTAGTCAATCTAACCGCTAAAATTGGACCACCATCCTTAAAGACTTCTGGAGCCAATCCATCTGGACCAGCTGCCCTTCCTCGTTTCAGATTAACTATAGGCTTTTGAACTTCTGCTAGATTTGGGGGACCTACTTCAATGTTCCATTCACGCTGTCTGGGAATGGAGGGTAGTTGTAGAGTAGCTGAAGGCCAGCTGAACTGTTCTCTGAAATATTCCTCCCATCGTTCTAAACGCCTGGACTGGGAGCAGATGAGAGTATCGTCTTTCCGAAATAATCTCACTTACACTTGACTTATTAGTTCCAGTTTCTTTTATTAGTCTGTAAAGTTGTCTTGTGTTCCCTATAGTCGCCGTCTTTTCCATCTCTTTTGCTTTCGTTGCCCACCACTGCTCACGGTCGTTTCTTAGACTTTTTCTTAACCTAGATCTGATTTGTTGTCGCTCTTCATCATGTTCAGAACCTGATGGGACGAGTTTGCGAGAATCCATCAGTGTGGTAGACTTTGAGGAAATCCGCTGGTTCTTTGTAACTCTGTGGTTTAAATCACTAATAGATTTGATTTCTGTTTCCACAGCTGTTTGTATATCTTTCCAAGCAACATCTGGGTCAGCCTCGTTTTCAGAACTACCTAAGTGTGAACTCAGTTGTTCCTGGAACTTACTTTTGGTCTTCTCGTTACTCAACTCAGTTCTAATGGGTCTTCTTACTATGGCTTTTTTGCGTCCAGTGAGGCGCAAGCAGATGCATGCCCGTATTAGGGCATGGTCGGAGTCCAAGCAGGTACTCCAGAATGAGTGACAATCTTGTACCGACCCTCTCCAACGATGACTGATGGCAATATGGTCTATTTGAGTCCATCGTTGATTTGGTGTAGGGGGTCGCCATGTTGATGATGTCTCTTCTTATGCTTAAAATTTGTGTTTGCTCAAAATAAACGATTGTCTGAGCACAGTTGCAGCAGACGATCACCATTATCTGTTCGTTGTGCCGGTATACTAAAATACCCACCTAAATGCCTTTCTGTTTGGTTTAGACTACCTGTCTGGGCATTAAAGTCACCTGCTACGAGTACTATGTCTAAACGTTTAGCTTTCTGAAGAAGTTCAGATAGCTTTCTGTAAAATTCATCCTTCACTTCATCTGAGCTGCAGTCGGTGGGAGCGTAGGCAGAAACGACAAAAAGGCAACGACGTGTGTCCCTATCATTCCGAGTTCTTACGGAGCCGTTTAGCCGGACAGCACATAGACGACTGTTGACGGGGATCCACTCTAACAGTCCTTGTTCAGCCCTCATGCTTAGTGCTATCCCTACTCCTGTCAGTCACTTAGATCACCTCTAATCCGATTTCCTTTTCAGGTACGTTCAGAAGAACCCTTCCACGGTGTGGCCAACCGGGAAGTGATAAACGCCCTCATACCTCTAACAGCACTCAAGACCACTATTCATTTAATCTTGTTACATTTAGAAATTTTTGGCAGATTGAGTCTAAATTCTGACGGATTGCGATTCCTGCTGAGATCGAAACCAATCGTTCATTGCTTTAAACATTGGGGTATTATTTTTTAGATGTTTTCTTTATCTCCCCGTAAAAAATTGTTTATTCCTTTCAATTGATAAATCGGTATCTTCAATGGTAAGAATTGGTATGAGCTGATTGAAAGGAAGTTACTTTGTTCAAAAAATAAATATACTTGAACAGCCGACCAAAATAATACAAGTACTATAAGAGTGGATTATCAAATGCAGATTATCATTACTGAAAAAGTGTACCATGAATTACGTATCAGATATTGATTGTTTTATCGAAACGAACGTTTTTATTAATACAAAAGATTAAATCAAACGACCACATTGATCTTATTTATCTGCAAACCTGATCTATTAAAGATATAGCGACAAGGGAAGGCAAATTAATTCAAATACAACGATCAAGATTCAAAAATTAAATGTACCACCAACACTTCACAAAAAATGTTCAATACAATAGGATTAACAGATTATTTGCTATCATTTATACGTATGACATGACTTCACATCGACTGAGTTTAAAATTACAAAGATGATCCTATAACGTTGGAGAAATGTAGAATATGGTAGTAGCAACAAATAATCCTATTATATGATATAAGGTAGATAGATAAGAAGCATTGATTGAAGTACTAGTAAGATCTTACACATATATAAACCTACAGTTTCTTTTTTCCTTTCATTGAAATTCCAATATGAATTCAAAATATCAAGTATCAAGATCATAATAAAAGGTAATCCATTTACATGTTATATTATATAACTAATCAGCTTTTTCAAGGAAAGATTGCCAGACGAAACGTTGGATTTACTTCAAATTCATTCGCTGAGATTCGCACAAATACATAGTCCCCAAAAGCCCTGGTACGGTCAAGAGTGGTGAGAGTCCACTCTCCCTCTCGAAATGCACTCACATGGCCAGGCGTACATAACCTCTGCCAGGGAAGTCCTACTCACTGCCTTCTCGTGGCATTACTGTTGTTTACGAAATTGACAGGACGAAAAGCGAATGTCCGTCGCTTTTAACCGGATTCCAAATCAATGGTGAACATGGGCTCCATTATCCTGTGAGAACAAATGGCGTATGAACCAATTTCTTGGTCACCGGCTACCATGGGAACGCATCTCCTTACGTTGCTCCACTACCCTGCGGATTAGACCTTTAGGTCAAAGGCTCCGGATGTTACTCCCTGAGGAACATACCTACTTCGGTCTGGGCACCCGGGCAGTATCACAGCCTTCACACATATCGAATGAGATTTGTGTGGCGCATATGTATTTGGTGCCTCCTTGTATCAATATCTATGTGCTAAAATTAATTTAAAAAAATAGTATTCCTTCCTCTTTAATGTCTCACTATTCATTCAAATTTAGATGAAAGCTCTTATTTATTATTCATGCAATCAATATCAAATTACCAAAGACAATGTATGATTGATATAACCACTGAATTTTCAATCTATATTGTTTAAATAATCAATGTATATAACTAACAAAACAACATGTTTACAAAAACAAGTTGAACATTTTTTTAGAAAAATAAAAATAAACAAACTAAACAATGAAATAAATTGATATCAATCAATAAATCAATCAGTCAGTAACAACTTCATAAAAATATACAAAACATAAATGAACAATAAACGATAATAATTATAATAATAACACCAAGTACCACACATAATAGTAGTAAAGAAAACCCTGAAAACTAGACAATATCACATCAGTATACAAAGGTTAATAATAAATATTTTTCTTTACTTTGTACACATCATAATTATTCTTGTCGTAGTTTTCATGTTTACATTAAAAAGTATTAAAAACAAAAACAATGAAAAAAAAAAGAATGATCTAAAGTAAATTACAATTGGATGATTCATATTCAATTACTTCACTAGGTGTCTCACCATTTTCAATGTTAATCAATTCAGAAATGATCTAACAATAACAAAAATTAAATAGTATATGATTATGTACTAAGTATATATATAAATATACATAAAATAATTAAAGTTTGAATGCTTAAACTAATAATTATGGGTACAGTTGCGGCAACCATATCACATTGGAAGCGCCGGTTCTCGTTCGATTACCGCAGTTAAGCAACGTTGACATTAATCAATACTTGCATGGGGGACCAGATGGGAACACCGCGTGTCTCTGGCTTTTTAACGTCGGAGTGGCTGAGTGGTCAAAGGCTCCAAACTCAAGTGTTCTTCTGGATGCTCTAGTTCACGATGTGAGTGTGGATTCTAATCCCACCTCCGAAAAATACTTTGCTCCCCAAACGCCCTAGTGCGGCCGAGCGTCAGCTCTCCCTCTCGAAATGCTCCCACATGACCACATGTATACAACCACTGCCAGAGAAATCTTATTCACTGCCTTCAGTCAGTAACAACGTAGAACTTCGTACGTACATACATCAGTTCCAGTTGCCATACCACATTAGTACAGAGATGCAGTTGTAGTAGTTGCAGTAGTAAGAGTATAACTAGTAATCGGAAAGATTAGGGTTTGAAGATATTATTCAAGGAGTATAATCCAGTGAAATAAATTTGGGAAGATAAAAAAGAAAGGGACGTGGAGAATTCAGAAGCTTAGAATTTAGGAGAACACAAAGAGTGAATGCACCTGCGCCATGTCATACAACTGTTGTTTACGAAATTGAGAAGACAAAAAGCGAATGTCCGGCGCTTTAACCGGGTTTGTGAACACGGAGAGTCAACCTAGGGTAGTTGGAAAACCCTGATTCCAAACCAATGCTCCACATGGACTCCAGGATCCTGAAGGAATAAATGGCGTATGAATTGATCGTTGGTCACCGGCTACTATGGGACTGCAGCTCTTCACCATACTCCACTGCCTTGTGGGTCAGGTCTTTAGGTCAAAGGCTCCGGGTGCAGCCACCTAAGCAAACCACCTACTTCGGTTTGGGCACCTGGGCGGTATCACAGCCCTCACACATATCAAATGATATTTCTGTGATGCATATCTATTTGGTTCCACTCTATGTACCAATGTTTGTGTTTAATTAAATTGAGTCAGTCAGCCCCAACGTAGGACCAGGCAAATATATGCATCGATCAAAGTTGCCATAATGCATTAGCACAGCAAGATGAACACCAAATTCATAGAAGTAGTTAATTCAATGGTAGTAATACATGGATATGGTACAAGGAGAAAATATTAGTTCGTAGAAAGAAAGACATGAAGTGATTTTAATCTCATAGTTTAAGGGAAGACAGAGTGGATACACCTATCCCACTGTGATCGATTCTGAGCCGTCACCAAGAGTCTCCAACCATTGGTTACGATAGTCACGCGGAACCCAACCAAGTTGTCTGCATTTCCCAACATGGTCAGAATAGAAGTTAGTGACTTCAAGCACTGATAGATCCATCGTGGAAAATACAAATATGAATCAAACTAATAAGATATAATGATAAATTTACCTTATAGAATATCATGAAACTTGAATCGAGCAAGGTCACCTGACCGAGAAACTCTTATCATTTAATCCCAAACAATGTACAAGAACTTTAAGTAACTTGGACTACTGGATACATTGGGCTTTGATGTAATTTACACTAAAATATACTTGTGTAAAAATCCTATCTGTTTGCCTATCTCTTCTTATGGTGACATTATGGTTTAGGAAATAAATGATAGAGAAAAATCTGAAAAATAAATTTCTAACATCAGTGATTCGCGAATTTTATACAAGCTGTAAAATATAGGGACTAAGTAAAATGCATTCGGTACTGAGAAAAATTGAAAATTTAAGTTAATCAATAATAATTCCCGTAATTTCTAATGATTCAATAACAACAGGAAACTATTAGTGAAAACAATTTTTAAGTGAGGTAATTTGCTTAGTATATAATCCACTAAACTCAAGTCTACTAATAGCTAAATAATAACCCGGAAGTGCAATTTTGGAAGACGTCTATATAAAATATTTTGAGAAAGTCCAATTAAATCGAAGTCGCATTATCACCATGTTTCTTGATAAAATTAACAACTTGAAATTCATCAATCTGTTTCTGATTATTCACTGAATTTCCCCTGGAAAACGTACTGTCCAAATATAGATATGTAGAAATTAACAATAATGTAAAGTTACACTTTTAACTTTGAAAAAAAAGTAAGAATAACTTACGGCCTCTGTTGAAGGAAAACTACCACACTTTAGTTTTGAAAAAATTAGATTTCCATTGACAGTGATTTCGAAAGATCCTGAAAGATAATAAGTAGTCATGAAGGAAACCATAATATAACGACTACTTAAACTATTCAGTAACTGTTAAAAAGGAATTCAAAGCTGTAATTGAATCACACTGATATGAAATCAATAGGTAAAATTTCAGAATTGAAATACTCTATAATAATCCGACAATCATCGACTAGATTTAAAATCCCATTATTTTAACGCCTTAACGATATTTCTTCCTAAATTCCTACATTGGTTAACAATATCGGTAATTGCTTTCTCTTTAAGCGAATATACTAGCCGAATTAAGAAAGCAATACATAAAAAATTATCTCTTACGTAGACAAGGTAAAAATGAAACATTTGACGAGTGTCAGGATAATAAGATTCAGAGCATAATTTATTTTACATTGTACTACTTTTAGTGGGCAAAGGTAGTAGAAAAAACGAAATAGAATAACGTCGACAGTATTCATTTGAAGTATACATGACAACTGTAATGATAGACATCGACAAAATCGAGGATACATGTTGATTACATAATATCAATTTCAAACAATAAAAAGCATTTCTAAGTGACTGATAACTGAACATTGAGCCAAACATAAAAAATGCAAATAAACACCGTAATAATATATTATCATTTAGTTGGTTTAATAACCTCAGTAATCAACAAAATACAATAAGTGAATAAAGAAACACCAATCATCACTTATAGTAAGTGGTACATTTATCCAAATCTATAAGAAATTTATAATACCTCTATCTCTTCATTGGCCGAATTAACCTTAATAAACGATCTTAATTATTATTATTTTACTTACTTACGCCTGTTTCTCCTCATAAAGGGACATAGGCCGCTCACCAGAATTCGCCATCCAACCCTGTCATGGACAATCCTTTCCAGTTCTTATTCATCCTTTCCATATGTTTTTAATTCCCGACGTAATGTGTTCTTTGGACTTCCTCCTTACGGCCTTCCTTCAGGATTCCGAGTTAGAGCTTGTCTCGTGATGCAGTTTGACGATTCGCGTAATCTATGTCCTATCAGTTTCCATCGTCTTTTCCTAATTTCCTCTTCAGCTGGAAGCTTGTTTATTCTCTCCCACAAAAGGCTATTGCTGATGGTATCCGGTCAATGGATGTTGAGTATCTTGCGTAGACAAACATCTATAAATACTTGCACCTTCTTGATGATGGTTGTTGTAGTTCTCCAAGTTTCAGCTCCGTACAGTAGAACTGCCTTGACATTCGCATTGAAGATTCTCACTTTGATATTGGTTGAAAGTTGTTTTGAGTTCCATATGTTCTTCAATTGTAGGAATGCTGTGCTTACTTTGTCAATCCTCGCCTTTACGTCTGCATCTGAACCACCTTGTACATCGATTATGCTTCCCAGGTATGTGAAGGATCCCACATCTTCCAGAGTTTCGCCATCAAGAGTGATTGGATTGCTGTTCTTCGTTTTGAATTTGAGGACCTTGGTTTTCCCATTGTGTATGTTGAGGCCTACTGATGCAGAGACTGATACTACACTGGCTGTCTTTATCTGCATTTGTTCGTGTGTATGCGATAGGAGGGCTAGGTCATCTGCGAAGTCCAAAGCGTCTAATTGATTCTGAGTTGTCCATTGTATTCCGTGTTTTCCCTCAGATGTCGAGGTCTTCATAATCCAGTCGACCACCAGAAGAAAGAAGAAGGGAGAGAGTAAACGGCCTTGTCTGACTTCGATCCTTACTTTCGGATATGATTATAAATATTACTGTACATTGGAGTAAAGCCTGATGATCTAATTGAGAACAACATTGTCCGCTTATATATGTTGTCCTAATTCACAATAAGTAATTTATTAAAATATGGTCAAGCTACTGTAAGTTAAACTGATTCCTTACATCTTCAAATTCCATGTATTGTTGAGTTAACGCGAGACATTTAAGTAAAATTCATACACTATTCACTCACTCGCTGATATAATCTGTAGGTTTGCATAACTCATGTTCGAATAAACGTACCACTTACCATAAGAGATGATTGATTTTTTAGTCACTTGTAGATCCAACAACTTTTGATAAACATCTGTCGTCATGAAGAGGTTAGCCTATATAGTGAGGTTAGACGCAGGGTATTGGGGAATGATGGTAAATCAGTTGATGAGGTTGTGAATCTTCATCGCCACGTGTTACGTATGCCTGAACATCGATTACCACGACGTGCAACGCTAACCGGTGTTGGGGATGGTTGGAAGAAAGTTAGGGGCGGCCAAACCGAAACGTGGCATCAGTCCTTGAAGTCAATAACTTCTGATCTCAGCCATGTTGGTAGATGCAGACTACTTGGTTGGGGTCCGCGTGACTATCGTAACCAATGGTTGGAGACTCTTGGTGACATGGCTCAGACTAGGTCAAAATGGCGTAGGTGTATACACTCTGTCTTCCCTTAAACTATGAGATTAAAATCACTTCATGTCTTTCTTTCTACGAACTAATACTTTCTTCTTGTACCATATCCTTATATGCAATCTTTGTTTCATGTATTACTACCATTGAATTAACTACTTCTATGAATTTGGTGTTCATCTTGCTGTGCTAATGCATTATGGCAACTTTGACCGATGCATAGATGTGCTTGGTCCTACGTCGTAGCTGATTAACTGATTACAACAATGATTTGAAACAAGCGGTTGTTGATACCGGTCATAGTTAACTCAAACGTATACCGCCATAGTTGGTTCACTCTGGAACTAAGTGGCTAACGCGATGGAGCTTGAAGTAAACAGCACTGGCTTTGAGTACCCGGAATGATGCAGGTATATCCTGCTGATGAGCCCTAAATGGGACAAAACACACGTCCTGGATTCCACACTAGCCACTATCCATCATTATTCAGAATTCTTATGAATCAAGGCAATTCTGAGGCAATGTGCAGAGTATGTGCATATATCAATAAGAGACTGATCAATTGCAGTCCCAATTTATTTATTTGCTTAGGGGACAACACACGGAGCCTTCGACCTAAAGGTCAGATTCACAAGGCAGTGGGGCATCGTAAGGAGATGCAGTCCCATGATAGCCGGTGACCAACGATTGGTTCATATGCCATTTGTTCCTTCAGGATAATGGAGCCCATGTGGAGCATTGGTTTGGAATCAGGGTTTTCCAACTCCCCTATGTGGACCCTCCATGTCCACCAACGCGGTTAAAGCGCCGGACATCCGCTTTTCGTCCTATCAATTCCGTAAACAACACTCCCGCCACGAGAAGGTAGTGAGTAAGACTTCCCTGGCAGAGGTTATATACGCGTGGCCATGTGGGAGCATTTCGAGAGGGAGAGCGGACTCACTCCACTCTTGGCCGTACCAGGGCATTGGAGTCCTATACATCGACGGGCAGACTCAAGTATACAATACCAAGTGAATTTAAGTCTGTACTGTTAAGGAAAATGGGAAGTTTCTTCAGTTTTAGGACGTTGTGGTAGCAACAATAGTGATAGATGTATGCTTTTCATATGAATTTTCCATGAAGAGCTTTTAAGGACTGAGTTGTACGGGTTTTCGAGCTATTATGAAATCAAGTGAGACTTACATTGATATAGATCTAGGAAGTCTAGAGATTTGTGATTTACGTAATACCCATACAGTATTTAGGGACTGATATATATGGACACTGCACGGGAAACTGTCTTTGCATACGAAAATTGGTCTATTAGTCTCCAATCAAAACAAGTTGCAAAACAGGGGACTCAAGCTTTTGAGATAAATGAATTTGATTGTGACTACCTATAATATGTAATATATGCATAAATAGGGAAAAAAGGATATAGACATTGGGCACTTGATACAGCATAATTTGACTAAAATGATGCAAAATTACAGAGAACGTTATACTCCGATCGCACATACACCAAACAAGTAGTTGATAAGTGTTTGCCCATAGGAAATAGTATATTTGGTCGCGTATACACAAAAGGTGGGAGGCTGTTAGGTTAAATATTAAGACGATTATATAAGTGCCTCAAGATAAGGTGAACCCTAAACATTAAATTAGCAAACTTACTTGACCGACCTTCCTGAATATTTACAGAAGCTGATCTACATTTCTGCTTGATTGTGACTGCGAGACGTTGTGCTCGAGGGAAATACCCTCATCCTCCACTACAGAATTTGAAAATAGTCATTTTGAAAATCTATTCGATTATTAAAATACAGTTGTAATGATTAGATATGCATCTCAAAACTAAATCCTGATAATGGACAAGAAACAATTGTTGATTTACACACAGTGAAGTCAACTCAGTTCAATATCTAGTTATCTTTAAACATGTTTACAGTTAGATTTTTAAATAATAAACTGAAACTATAAGATCTATAATTCCAGTTATCGATAACTTAGAAATTATAATCACACTAAGTTTATTTTATTGAGCGAAGCTAACCTTGGATTTAATATAGATATTTATTTTATTAACTGTTTAACCACACTGGAGAAATAATGACACAGAAAACCAAGGCCGAGAATGTTGGGCAAACGATTAGCCTGGAAGAATATACAATAGACTATAAATGCAACTTAGCGTAATAAATTATTGGTTATCCATAGAAAACAACATTTTATACATAACTTGAGACTGATAAATTCTATGATGCATCGCAAAATTATTGGCTGGTTATCCTGAAATATTTTGTTTCGCCCATTTCTATCTAGAAGAAACATGCTTGTGATTTAATACAGATCACTGTAAAGCCAACGGGAGAAAACAATAGATTCTTGAATGGATATATTAGCAGTTTTACCATATTTTGGGAGTTTTGTTCTCTGAGCTGGATGGTTTGGTCGTGGAGCTTTCAACGTTCTTCTGAACGACATCATCAGCACAAGCTTCAAATAGTCAGTCAGTCAGTAACAACGTAGAACTTCGTACGTACGTACATCAGTTCGAGTTGCCACACCACCTTAACACAGAGATGCAGTTGTCGATCCAAATCCCGTATTGGTAGATGTAGCAAGAGTGTAAGCAGTGATCGGGAAGATTAGGGTTTGGAGATGTTATTTAAAGAGTATAATTCAGTGAAATAAATTTGGAAAGAAGAAAAAAGTGAAATGTTTGAATTTCTCCATATGTATTTCAAAGCTTGTTCTGTACACCTCGATGTTGATTGGTTCTTATTGACTTTTAATTTGTCATTGTTTACTTCTTTGCTTTGGTTGTGTCTCCCATTGTTTTGATTTTTGTTCTTATGTTTGTGCATGATTATTCTGATTGGTTGATAAATTGGATTGATTTCAATATGCTTGTTGATTGCTGATTGACTTTAGTGCCAGGCTTCTAAAAATTCTCTAGTGTTTTTGGAGTTTCCTCTGTCTAAGATTTCCACATTTTTCCAATCGAATGAGTGTCCGTAGTTATCCACGTGTATTGATATAAGTGAAGAGATATCATGCCGTCTGACTGCTAATTGATGTTCATGTAGGCGCAGGTGAAGGGGGCGTCAAAAAGTACTAACCGCACGTAGCATTAGAACTCAAGTCTAGCACAAAAATCAACAAAAGGATCACCCTACCATATATACAAGGAATATCAGAAACCGCAACAAGACTGCTGAAAACCTTCGGAATAGGTGTAGCACAGAAAGCAATAAAATCACTACAATCAATCCTATGCAAACCAAAAGATGAAATAATAAAGGAAAACAAATCAAACTTCATCTACAAAATAAATTGTGCCAACTGCGAAAAACACTATATCGGATAAAGCGGACGTGGATAACTACGGACACTCATTCGATTGGAAAAATGTGGAAATCTTAGACAGAGGAAACTCCAAAAACACTAGAGAATTTTTAGAAGCCTGGCACTAAAGTCAATCAGCAATCAACAAGCATATTGAAATCAATCCAATTTATCAACCAATCAGAATAATCATGCACAAACATAAGAACAAAAATCAAAACAATGGGAGACACAACCAAAGCAAAGAAGTAAACAATGACAAATTAAAAGTCAATAAGAACCAATCAACATCGAGGTGTACAGAACAAGCTTTGAAACACATATGGAGAAATTCAAGCATTTCACTTCTATTTGAAGTTTGTGCTGATGATGTCGTTCAGAAGAACGATGAAAGCTCCACGACCAAAGCATCCAGCGCAGAGAACAAAACTCCACCAAAATCATCCACCTGAGCTACAAATCTTCTCCATCATTTCAAAGTTTTGCCCTATGGTTATGAAACCTGGCTTCTCTAAGTTGAGGATGTTAGATGACTATGCTTGATTATTGTTGATATCCAGTGGCAATACCACGTTAGTATGTGTTCAGACAGTGACGATAATTCAATTAGTGTCACCACCCAGAAACACTGACATTGAAGGCCTGGACATATGCTACGAATGTTGTCCAATGGATTCCACACCGTGCATTATTTGTCGACGCTAGACCTAGTTAGAGAAAAAAGGTGGTTCAGGTGTGGTCAAGTGTCGTGGTATGAAAGAAGGCTGTAGAAGACTGGCTTTTGTTGGTCCTTCACGACTCCCTGGTTGAGGTCCTAGAGCTAGTACAACAATGGCTTGATCCGTTGTCAGAAATGGCGCACAATAGAAGCCAGTGGTGGTACTACAGCAACTCTTTCGTCATATAAGAGTAACGTTTATAGCTGGAAGAATCCTTTATGATTACATTTTTCTCAACGAAATTTTTCTACTTCACTAATTTTTACTGCTTGTTCTATATATATATATATATATATATATATATATATATATATATATATATATATATATATATATATATATATATATACATATATATATATATATATATATATATATATATATATATATATATATATATGAATGCTTTTGAAACATACCAATGTTCGATAGTTACGGCCAACTTCTTTGTAGTGTTTTGCATGTTTCAAATCGAGAATTTAAAAGCTTTATTTAGAGCCAACAGATAACCTGAAAAATTGAACAATAATTAGGAGCTAACTTAATGCGCAATTTGAAGATTTGCTACAAATCAACATATTCATTTACACAAAAATTGACTAATTTAATAAAGTTATAGGGAAGAAACGTGTACTCACAAATACAGGGAAAATTGAGATCATAACCCAATGAAATCGCCAATGAGCTATACTCACAACTCAACTATCACTTAACGAGTATACAGTATTAGTCGGTATTCTATCACTTTAAAGACTAGCAAGATGCCTTGTTTCAAATGTTTTACTCATCTCAATTAAGAGTAGATGCCTAAAGGAGGATTTCAAAGATACTTACGAAGAACTTAAATCAAACTGCCGTACATATTTATATAACATTTTTATACTACCCCTTTCTATCCGTTTTGAGTACGTTATTCTTAGGTTCAAATCTAGTCTACTCCATCCAGAACCATTTGCTGAGAAAATCTACTTTACGGTGGTGACAACCTCAACGTCGAGCGTAGATTCCACAAGAGTTGAGTAGCTCTAATGAATCTATATAAGTATCTAATCTGGCACAAACATCCCTTTAAGATGTCTAAACAATCCAACTACCGAGTCCTTTCACATTGGAAATATGTACTACGAGAATACATTCAGCGACTATAGGCTATGAACGATAGGAAAACAGGTCTTGAATTATGGTGCGATATCCGTCTGTTTAGCTAAACAGCGTTTTTGGCATTTTAGCTTATGTCAGTTCGTGATGAAAACCTCGAATCTAATCCCTAGCCCTAACCACCAATTGTAAATCATAATACTAATTCCTCACGCTGGTTTGTGACCATCATTTAGTCCTAGCCAGAAGATGGACACGCTGAAGGTCACTTTAGAGTTACTCAGAAGTCGTACATAAATTGTTCTCATCACATTAAGTCATAATACATTTTACAAAGCACAACATATATTGTGACGTCTACCTAGCCCGAAGACCTTCAAAGTTTTCATATTCTGTCAAAACCAAACTAAGCGCAGTTATAGAGTTCTGGAAAGCTGTATTCGCCACATCGTGCTTTTGGATTCTTAAATACAATCTTTTAGTTTCTATAGGCATGGATGCTACTCTCCTTAGAATGACATACAACAACCATTTCTTATGACATGGCTGGACAGTAGTTCTGACTAGTAAACTGTTAGAAACTTGTAGCAGTGAAACGGCATACGACGGCTTCCTCGTAACTTCACTGGCACAATCATCTTTGGCTGACGGCCTAATTGTGACATCCGGCAATCCCTACATTTCGGTAGCAAGATTGATATCAAGAGAAATCAACTTTGCAGAGTGGTTATTATCTTGAGAAATGTTGTTCATTTCATAGGATTTACCGACCGATAATTCTGTAAAACCGTCAGACTCCAAAAACTTCAGAATTAAACATTAAAAAACACTGTGTTATATCAGGACAAGCCTAAGGATAATACACATACAACAGGAGGAGGTATCACATGTATACACCGACAGATCCCAAGTCAGACTTTCCGCTGTTTGACGAGGACAATATTTAAAACAAACAACCAAATGAATCAAATGATTCTGGGAGACAAAAACCCTTAGATTTCATGTTTGTGTAGCAGGGACAAAAAGCCCACGGCCTATGTTATTTCTGGCAGATCGTGTAAAACGACAGGAAGCCGAAAAGGACCTAAAAATGGTAAATTTTCGGGTTGTGAGGCTCCGACAGAGAATGATGTCGAGGCCACTCTGGGTGAAGCACGAATCCACTTAAATAGGCTTCGGATCTGTTACAGTAATGCCTGAAGCTTACTTAATAACCTATCGGAACTAGGTGTACAGATTGACTCTACAAAGCCATATATAATCGCAGTCACAGAAACCTGGCTGACACAATCTACAGATAGTATGAAACTTGATCTCAAGAGTTTTACGTCAGTAAGGGCCGACAGAATACAAAAGTGTAAAGAAGAGGGAGTATCTCTATTCATTAGGAATGCTATCCCATTTGCCATTATCGACAGTGTATCCTATGAGAGTGGTATGTGTGAATTAGTTAGTCTCCGCTGGAAATACAAGGGACAAGATCTGATGATCGGTTTGGTCTATCGCGGTCCAAGCTGTGAGGTAAGTGAGGTCCTGCTAAGCAGTCTCAATATTTGATCACAACGTGGTCGATGTCTAATCCTAGGGATTTTTAATGCATCAATGGTAGACTGGGAAAATCTGTGAACTGAATCGTGAGATAATTCCTTCGAGCAGGAACTAGTTGATGCGGTTATCACATGTGCAACATGTGGAAGAAGCGACTAGGTACGACCTGGACTCTGAATCATCCCAACTAGGTTTTATATTTACTCACTATGCGGATGACGTTGCAAACCTCCATTACATTCCACCCCTAGGTAAAAGTAATCATGCAGTTCTAACTTTCGACTTCAATATAACTGGCAGTCACGAGCACGCGTCAGCTCAATCCAGACCTAACGTCTGGAAAGCAAATATACCAGATATCATGCACTCAGTATCGTTAGTAGATTGGACAATAGACCCAGAGTTCTCAGTTGAAACGGCCTGGGACGCATTTTGAAATTCATAATTAAAAGTCACCACACCCCACATCCCTTGAACTGCACCAAGGGGGCCGAGAAACTCCCCACTATGGTTCAGTATGGATCTCCTCATCCTTCGCCGTAAGAGAAGAAAAATGTGGGATAGATTTAGATTACTGGGGACTGATGAGACAAAATCTCACTATCCAAAAGCTCGGAATACCTGTGTCTCGACCCTCCGTAAGTCTAAGAAAGTTGTACGAAGAGGAAAATGTTGAGGAATCTATAGAATGTCCTGAACGCTTGTATTCTTATATAAACCGAAGGACAAATGGAAGAGGAAATATTCCTGTTCTATGGGGAGACAGTACTGCTGCGTCACTAGTGGGGGAAGACTTTGGTAAGGCTCAAGTTTTAGCAAAATTTTTTAGCAATGTTTACACCATAGAAGCACCCTTCCCATCAGCGCATACAGATCTCCCCACACATATACTGGATAGCGTGACCATCAAAGAACTCGATGTCTTTGGTCGACTTAATAGGCTTGCCATAGGTAAATCCACGGGGCCCGATGAATTACATCCCAGGCTACTGAAGGATTTATCTAACTTCGTTGCAAGCCCTATAAGTATATGCTTTAACCTATCCGTTACTAAGGGTCGTTTACCAAAAGACTGGAAAAAGTCATAGTAAGTCCTGTCTTCAAAACAAGTACGAAACACAAACCTAAGAATTACCACCTCCTTAGACTAACTAGTACGGTTGTTAAAATATTAGAAAAGATTATTAGGGAAGAGCTGTTTAAATATCATGATGAAAACCGAATCCTTTCAGAGAAGCAGCATGGTTTCAGAATAGGTTACTCTTGTCTCACAAACTTATTAGTGGCTCGCGAAAGCTGGTGCGCTCTTAAGGATCAAAAGCTACCTGTAGACGTCGCCTTCATTGATTTCAGTAAAGCTTTTGACAAAGTTCTGCACAACCGGCTGTTATATAAGTTAAGAAATGTCGGTATTGGAGGCAATTTATTGATGTGGATAAAAGACTTCTCAGTTGGGCGTCAAGAAAGAGTAATGGTGGACTCAAAGTTATCTAGCTGGGAAACTGTGCTTAGTGGAGTGCCTCAGGGTACAGTTTTGGGGCCAGTGCTATTCCTCTTGTATGTAAATAACCTTCCTCGTCTCCTATCATCATCGGTCTTGCTATATGCAGACGATGTCAAGATATGGAAAACGATGAGATGTAAGAGTGATAGCTTAGAAATCCAAAATGATCTGAAGAAGTTATTTGAATGGTTTCAAAGATGGCAGTTGCCGTTAAATACTTCCAAGTTTGTTGTGATGCATACCGATCATCAAGGTACAGATACATACACGATGAGTAACACTGAGCTACCTCTCGTCCAGACATATAATGACTTAGGAGTCATCGTTAGTCAAGACCTAAAGACTACTCCACACTGCCGTGCAATAACCGCCAAAAGTCTTAGATCATTATGGTCAATACGTAGGGCTTTTAGTCATGTCGATGCTAAGACGTTTTTGACTTTGTATACAGTTTTCGTTCGTCCTAAATGTGAGTACTGAATACAAGCGGCTAGCACCTGCTTAAAAAAAGACAGTGAGCTTCTGGAAATGGTTCAGAGAACTGCAACTAAGCTTATTTCCAGAATAGCGAAGCTTCCGTATGATGCTCGACTGGCCAGGCTGAACATTTTGCCGTTGTAATATCGCAGAACTAGATGCGAATTGATTACAGTTTTCAAATTGTTAAGTACCAAATTTGCACCTGATACGCCCTCATTTTTCTTGTCTTCCAAAACAGAGAATTTGCGAGGACACTCAATAAAAGTTCAAAAGCCCATAACTTATCAGCTGACTATCGGCTTTCCCACCGAATCATCAACGAGTGTAACTCATTACCTCAGCATGTTGTTGAGGCTCCATCCGTCGATTCTTTCAAAAGAATGTCGGATCAACTGAGGGACCACCATTGCCAGGACTAACACAGGCCTCCTGTCCTGTCGCTCAACTCCCTAGAGATTGGAAGGACGCTATAGTTAGTCCTATATTTAAGGACGGTCAGCGACAGATAGCATCTAAGTACCGGCCTGTTAGTCTAACTAGCATAGTCGTTAGGTTACTCGAAAAGATAATTCGGGTTAGGTTGCCAAGCCACATAGATTTACACAATCTGTTAGCTCCTGAGCAACACGGATTTCGTAACAAGCGTTCATGCTTGACTAACTTGCATATTGCGAGGGAGGATTGGACAGCAGTTCTAGATAACGTGATATTCATAGATTTTAGCAAATCGTTTGACAAGGTTTCACACTCTGGTCTTATGCAGAAGCTCACGAGCTTCGGAATAATAGGTACTATATGGGAGTGGATAGGAAATTTCTTATGTGACCGCAGAC